GGCTGTGCTCATCAGCTCCCTGGGAAATTGCTCCCACAGCCCGGTGTTATCCCAGTCCATCCACCTGGGAAGGCTCCCCATCCCCTGCAGGGGCACACCTGCCTGCCAAGCACCTTTTGGAGCAGAGATCACTCCTGTGGGATGTGCCCATTGCCTGCTGAGCCCTGCAGGTGTAATTAGGTGAACTTTCATCCCTAGCAAAGGTCACTCAAATATAGCAAAGGGATCTCCTGGCAGGCAGATCCCACAGACATGTCCAGGCTTCAGCAGGGGTGCAAGAGAGCACTTAGCTTAAATATTTGCATTTTTCCCCGTTCTGCACAAGCAGAGCTGTGTTACAACATGTGGAGGCAGAAGGAGAAGAGCCCAGGAGATTGCCCCCGCTGGATGTCCCTTCCGTGCTGATCTATCCCACGCTTTCCCAGCAAAACAGCTCCAAACATTCCCTCTTGCCCGAGATTCCCCCACAGAACACAAAATGTGGACAGAAGGGAAGTCAAAACACAGTTATCAGGTTCAGAAGTGGTGCTTTCACCAGGCTGTTTCAACAAACATTTGTTCTCCCGAAGCCCGGGGCAGAGGGATTATTGTGGAGATGAAAGCAGCGCTGTTTGGACTCGCAGATGGGATTTACAGCCCACAGCAGTGCGAGAGGGGCTTGTGCAAAAGGGATTTAATGTTGGGCAAGAGAAGTGCAGCTTCCTGCAGCCCCTCTGGCTGGAAGCTCTGCTTGACAGCATTAGTGGGATGAAGGATCATCTTTGGTCCTGTTGCAGCCCAGGACCGGCAGCTGATGAGATTCCAGACCCTTGGACAGCATCTAAATTTAAATATCCAGAACCTAAGCTGCTAAATCTGTCACCTTTAGTATGTTGTACTTTTGTGTCAAAGTGCTACAAACCTGAATTTCTCCTATCTTATGGTCCTTCACAGATATTCCAGCTGGAAATTGGTATTTTCTCCAGTATTAGCTGCACTCAGCTGTAAGATATTTTCCTACAAGCACACAAAAAGGAGCTGCATGTTCCAAGAGGGCAGTCATATGGTAGAGATTATAATCAGACAAGTTAAGAGCAGTGGCCGTTTTAATTGTGCATCAAATACATTTTTTTTCAGCATAACCAAGACAATACGCCTGTCCCAAACAATTTAATTGTCTGCTGCCACTTTGTGTCTTTTCTCATGCACAAAACTGGAGATGAAATTAGGGATGAGAAAAGAACTGAAATACAAACATTTTGATTAAAAATTTCTCTGTCGATCAACACAATTTAATGGAGAATCCTTTCTGATTTGTTTTTCAAATTGAATATCTATACCAGTCCTGGCTCAGGACAGCCCTGCTTAAACCTGAGACCAAAGGAAAATTTGCCTTCTGTTTAATCTGAGTCTTAATTACATGTTGAATTAACCCCAGAGGGCAAGTGTTGGTGAGAATATTTTCACAGAGATGAAACAGTCTGAGGAAAAAGGAGGAGAGAGGGAGAGAAGAAGAGAGAGAGGAGGACTTTTGTGGAACTTTTAACTGGAGAAACTTTGGAAACAGATGTTGGAGATTAGATTTCAGAATCAGGCCTGGGCAGATTTAGAAGTGAATTAAATGCAGTGTAAAGTCCATCTCCTTTTTCTCTCCCAGTGAACCAACACACACATTAGGGGATATGCTGAAATAATGAACACTGGTGTTTTCCATTTCTCATTATCCTCCTGCCAGAACAAATGCAAAGTACAACATGGAAGCATAGAGGGGCTCAGCTGCCTTTGATGAATTAAAAAAAAAATAAATAAATTAAAAAAACCCTCTGCACATGTTTCCTTTTCACTCTTTCAGTTTATAATTTCATTTATTTGGACTTTTAAAGGCACAATGGCTGATGTCAGAAAGGAGAGTCCTCAGAGCAACAGCTGCCTGGAAGACAAGAGGGTCAGAGGCATTAAAAAATACAAATGTCAAAATCCTGCATAAAATAATTTTGAATCTGATCTAAGCTAGTAAAAGCCAGGCAATTCAGAGCTAATTCTGCCATTTGCATAGGGACAAAAATCTGTATAAGCCCGTTGCCAGTGCTCAGGCTGAAGTGATGGATATTACTCCCAGGAGGACGCTGGCTTTAGGGAGGCTAAGCCATTTACTTACAAATTTATTCCAGGCTCTAAATCAGATTCCTGTTGGTCTGACTTGAAAAATCAGTAGGTTGATACTGTTTAGGTCTGTGCCACAGATGTTCTCATCGCTTGCATGACTGCAAGTAATGAATGGGAGGGTGGGGTGTAGAACAAGGAGGAGCCAGGGGCTGACCCCGTCCTGCTGGAGACACCCCCAGCGCTGGAAGGACAGGGAGGAGGGGTTGCAGCTGGACTCTCCTGCTGGGAGGTGGGCTCTGGAGAGCCTCTGGATAAAGGTTCATGGATGGCATGGAATGTTAGACAGGTGTGTAACAGGCTCTGGGGGCAGCTTGGCAATTCCGCTTTCGAGGCATGAGTCAAGAGTTGGAGGAGGAGATGGAGATACTGGCAACATCAGGTGGTTTGAAGCAAACTTGTGACATCACTTTGGGGCTTGGCAAAGGAGCCTCTCTAGCCAGGTTCCCCTCCCCAGCTCCAGGAATTTCCCTGGGGATGCAGGGCTGTCCCTGAGCCACAGAATTATCAAAACCCATTCCAACCTGGAGCCTGCAGTGACCCTGCTCTGAGCTCAGAGCTACTGCAAGAATCGAGTGCTTGGCATCACTGATTATTTGTTCCAAAAACAAAAAATGAAGCCAAGATTCGCACACTGCATTCCCTTGAGAATCCAGGAAAGAGCTTCCCACTGGAAAGGGCTGTTTGATGTCTGTTTGTGGAGCAGAAAAGCTGCACGATTTGCATGAAGAGAGAGCAGCTCCGAGTCATGCAACTCAAACAAGTTTGTAAAGGACCTTGCTGAATCAGGAGGGGACACAATTTAGTTTAGACTTAGCAGAGAATTGGTTTAGTGGCCTGACCTGAAGAGGAGCACTGTCAGAGAGCAGAAAATGCAATTTCTTAAAGTAACTATATTTTTTGTCCAGGTGTTTTCATCTGTCTGTTCTGAGGGACAATCACATTTTTATTTAATACCAGTGAAGAAGAAGGGTCCTTTAGGAGAACAAAGCTGAGGAGTGAGGTTTGACTTGGTGTTATCCTGATGGTCCCAATACTGCACCCCCAAAGACCTGGGCTGTTGTGGAGCTGTGTGGTGGAAAACAAAAAGATGATGGAGTTTATTTCAGCGCCAGGAAAAATGGATCCTACAGTTCGCTTTCAATTTCAGCTGAATGCCAGGAAAGTGCTTCAAAGGATGGAAATAATTTGTTACTCAAGACCTGAGCTCCTCAAAGATAAAGTGTTTGGCACATAGGTTTTTGGGACTCCAGAGGAGGACCTTTATCTTTGGGGCGAGGTGCTTAGCTGCTTTTTGACACAATTCACATGACTATATGTTTGGCCTGAGTATCCTGAATGTGCAGTGGCCTAAATCTCCTTCATGTTTCCCTCCAGTGGAGCCTGATGTATGTTGTAGCCTTGTTCTTGTTTCACTAGTGAGAGCTTGTTTGCTTTTTTTGCTGGGGGCTGTTTGACAGACTCACACAAGACCTGCCTGAGTCAGGCTTGCTCTTAAAAGCATTGCTGGCATAGCCATGTCACTGGAGAACACGGGAAAGCAGAGCACAGCTCCATTTGTTACAGCTGTAGCAGCAAAAAACCCTAATGAAGATGCATTTACACTGGCCCAAATCCTCTGTTCTGTTCTGAGAGCATTCCAAGCTGTACCTACAAGGCAGTTTAACTTGCTGAACTGAATCAGATTTGCATTTTCGCCTGGACAGAAATAGCTGCGCTGGCTAAAGCCGTGTTGGCAAATGCATTTTGAAAGAGAATTCAATAGCCTTCTTTCTTGTGTGCTTCAAGAAATCAGAGATCTTCTTAGGAAGGAAAAATCCTGCTTTTCCCTCTCATGACAGCCTACAAACTGCAAAGAGGCTGGGGGTTACCTTCTCTAACATAGCCACTGCCTTTAAATATTTGGGCAGTCAGAAATTTAGAAACATTTCAGGAACCGAGTAGAGTACGAGGTTTATTCATGCCTCTGCCTTAATGGAAATAAATTCTCACCAATAAGCATCCCACACCCTGGAGAGTCAAAATTTCACCTCACTTGCCACTGGAGCTGGCTGGAGATAATAAAACCCACCCCACATGATCCTCAGCAGGCTTTGGGATGGAAAAGCGGAGGAAGTCTAAGAAGAAAAAGCACAGCTAGCAGCACTTTAAAATCTGAGAATGGCAGCATTGTTTGGGGAAACAATAAATGCTGGGTTTAAACAATTTAATGTCAAACAAATGTGGAGGCTGTGTCATGCAGGAGCAGCAGTTACAGCAGCGTTGTTTGAGTTTAAATTTGACATCAAGCAGTAACTGCAGGCGGGCTTTGTTCCCTAGCAATGAGATGTCTGCACATCACAGATGCAGGACTTCTTCAGAAAACTGCCAGATTACCGGATTACTCCAAGGAAAATTTCGCAATGGCCTTTGATTCCTTCCCGATGAAGTGATTTTCCACAACACTTTGCTCACTAGCAGATGAGGAGAGACTGGGGAGCGAAATGCATGTGGCAGTATTACAGAGTAAGAACAAATGCAGTCACCAGTGTCTTGATTAAGGAGCCCAGGCCTGTGGACACGCTGATAACAGCAAAGATCCCTGAGCTCAGTGAGATTTGCTTTAAAAGTGGAATAAAATCAGCCCATTCCCCTTTGCAAAGTCACAGCAAGGAGAATCAAAATTATGACTGGAAGCACTCATGGAATAGAGTTTGAAATATTCCCCATTCCCCAATCTGCACCAATGGTACAGAGAGCAAGGATGGCACAGCAGCAGGGAAAGCACAGAGCATCCCGGGCCAGGAGGCTGCTGCACCTTCCCTGCCCAGTCCCAGCTGATGGATTTAATGTGGCCCAGGTGGCAGATATAACAAATATCTTGGAAGAAAAGAAAAGCCTCACTGGCTGAGCCTTCCTGATTAGGAGCAGCTGGTTGGGTTTGGAGTGGTGGCTTTTTCCCCTCTCCCTGTGAAGTTTTTGTGCTGCAGCACTGTGATAAAGGAGCTCACATCAGGCTGGTGCTTGCTGTAAGTGAGGGGGTTAAGATGTTTTGTGATGCACTCTTTGATTACTGATTTTCAGGGTTAAGATGTTTTGTGATCCACTCTTTGAATACTGAATTTCAGGGTTAAGATGTTTTGTGATCCACTCTTTGATTACTGAATTTCAGGGTTAAGATGTTTTGTGATCCACTCTTTGATTACTGAATTTCAGGGTTAAGATGTTTTGTGATCCACTCTTTAATTACTAAATTTCCTGCCTTTTGGGTACTCACCTTTACAGCCTCTGTTGTTCTTTTATGTGTGTGCTAAGTGGTGGAACGATGCTGTTGAGTTTGAGATGAGGAGGTGGAGTATTATTTGAAGTGGTTTTATCAGAAAGTACTGTTTTGAGAGCAGGAAGCTTTCCTGTTTTGTTTGAAATGTAAATATTGTGCAATGCTGCAAACATTAGGTATTCTTAAAAGCTGTTAGCAGGTGCTAAAAGAAATAGTGGGTATTGTAACGGCTGGCAAAGATAATTTATCTCTTATGGTTTATATTAATGTATAATTTCTCGGTAGTGGGGCAAACAAGGAAGCATTTTGTTTTGATTGTGGCTTTTAGTTTAAAATTGGTGAATTTTTTTTTTTTAAATTTGTCCATGGCTGAGTGGGTCTTTCAGATACAATGGGCTTTACATTAACAAAATGCCCTTGTGTTATTCAAGCACAAGAGCAGAGCATTGGTCTGCCTTGGTATCTGAGCCATGTGATCTCTTTTCTCCTCCATTCTCCTTCTGCTTACTTTCTTTTTATCTTTTCTTTCCCTTCCATCATGAAATTTGCACTTCCCTTGGGCAAAGAGTGCTAAATAAAAGGAGGAGAGAAAGTTAACTTATAAGGTGAGATAATGTGACATTATCATTTAAAATTAACATATTGACATTTGTTTTGAAGCAAAAATACAAGCTCCCTGGTGAGATTAAGGATGAGTTTAATTTTAAAACCATTGAGATCTTGTTGTTGCTGCAGAAGAGGAATTTAGCTTTCATTTGTTTTTTAATTTGCATCTTGATATGATTTCTTATCACAGACCAGCTCAGGTGGGAAGGGAAGCAGGGAATGTTTTGTGCTTCTCTGCTGAAGAGGGTCCACGTGGAGCAGCATCCAGATCCGGACTGACAGAGATTAAGGCACAGAGGAAAAAGCTGAAACAAGCATCCTTCAGCTGTTCCTGTGGAGAGCAAGGCAAGCACTGCTCTTCAGGAAGGGAGGAAAGCTGCACAGGAGGTATTTAATGACTCTTTTCCTAAACTGCCCGTCCCAGTTTCCTCAGGGGACAAAGAGGGGCACGTTGGAAGGAGAGGGAGGTGTAGAAATTCAGACCACCAGGACTTCTGCCTCCCCTCACTCACATCTCTCTCTTCCTGGGGTCACACTGCTCAGGCTTGGTGGAACCAGGTGAGACTTGCCAAGCTCAGCCGTGCAAATCCCTGTTCCCAGAGCATCCAAACTTCCCTCCCCTTGTCACTGGACCACACAGCCTCTCCCTGATGGCCTGAAAGGTGTGGCCTGGGCAGCAAGGGAGGGAGCAGCATGACACTGCAGCAATCCTGAGGACAGAATTAGGCTGCAAAGATCCCCCTTCCCTCATTCTACCTCATGCAAAGGAGTGAAAGGCTGGCAAAAAGGATCCTTTTGGAAATCACTCAAAATATGGCTGACACTGAAGGAATAACCTTTCATTTTGGTTGTGTGACTGTGGTGCAGCGTTTGGGGGCTGTGACTTTTGAAGAGCTGGCTGATTTGCATAGGCACTTCTTTTCTTATAAGTGGAGCTGGCAGTGCTGCCAAGAGTTACAACTGGCCAACAATTTCTCTTGTAAAATCCTGCTCCTGCTGGGGTAAATTATATTTCAGTGCTCTGAAATTTCTTGTGTCGGGCCTCTGTCTCAGTCAGTGAATACTTGCAGTTCCATTTTACAGTTATTGGTGTGGTTTCTTAACATTTCTGAAAAAAACTCAAAAAAAAAAAAAAAGAATAGAAAAGAAAAAAAAAGTCATCTATTCTCAAGATAATTGTGTCATGATGTCCCAGAAAAAGGATGGAGCTGGTGGGACTGGGGGAGGAGACTGGGATTTCTGTAGCTCTAGTTTTTGGACTCAGACCAAAGCCTGAATGCTTTGAAAAGTGCTACAATATAAAAAAAAAAATAAAAATAATAATAATAAAAAAAAAACCCTGAGGCTAAAAATCCATCAATTTCTCAAAGCCGTCTGCAAGGATTAATTTTAAAACCTGTGCTCTGAAAGGACCCTGCTTTAGGATGGCTCAGTTACAGTCCCAGCCATGAAATGTTCTGCCTTAACTGATGTCAGTCCCCCCTGCCTGCTCCAGAAATATTTTATTATCTTCTAATTGCAAGTGCTGGCAGGATGATTTTACACTGTTTTCAGTCTATCAGTTCAGTAAATCAGTACATTGGGTTGTATTTATCCCAGTTGCAAGGCTTTGGAAGAGAAACTTTCTTGCTCTTTGAGGCTGTAAAGGACACAGGTGGCTTTAGAGTGAAGGACAGAATTAAGAATATTGAAGCAGGCCTAATGCAGAGAATTTGCTCAACCCCACAATTTACCATGGATTAATACCTGTGCTCCTCGTGGTCCCTGAAGGATCTCATGGTTTGTTTCTGAGGTGTTTTTCCTATGCAAAACTAGTGCAGATGTGCTTCCCCTAACAAAGGGCAGAGCGGGAGAGGAGAAAGCAAATTGTTTTGGGAAAGGAACTTGGAATTATTTAACATAGGTTTTGTCAGGGGTTTTTCACAATGAGAGCAAGAGGACCACCATTTTAGGAGGATTTTTGGGAAGAAAAATGCTTGTCATGAAGGGACTGCTGGGATGGAGCCTGAGCTGTCAGAGACCCTTGGTGTTTGCCCAGGGTCCCTTCAGCTGCTCACCTTGGACAGTGCCACCACTTCCCCTGTGAGCCCTCCCATTCCTGCAGGAATCCTGGTGAGAAATGGGTGGAACTCGGTGTCCTGTGGAAGAGAACAATGCCAGAAAGCAGGCTCCAGGCAGTGACCAGCCCTGAGCTAGCTGTGGTGAGCCATTGTCCCAGGGAACAGGAGCGCTGCTGTGTCCCACAGTGGCCTGCTCTGTTCTGGCTCTGGAGCTCACTGATAAATAACTCCTTTTATGCTGCACATCTGGGGGAAGGGCTGCTTCCCCTGCTGGCCACATGCCTGCTAAATAAAGCCCAGAGGAAATTGGTTCTGCGTGCCGCTGTCAGAGAGGTGAAGGCTCAGCAGTGACCTCTGGCCCCTTGAACTCAAGGCACTGGATGCCCCACGAGGTTGGCAATACCAAAGCTCTGCTCCAGAAGAGCCTCAGCCAGGTTATTCCTCACTCCCAGGTTATTCTTCAAAGGGATTAGCTTGGCAAATGAGTTACAGGGGACCAGAGTGCTGCTTTCCTCCCTGTTCAGAGATACAGGCTGGAAAAATGCAGAGTAATAAAAAAATAAATTAAAATGTAGAGATGGTTAGAGTGCAGGAGCTAAACTGTTAAATTATAGAGCAATGGTATTTTTGAGTAAATTTATTCACCCCCATCAAAGAACCCATGATCAGCTGTGAGGCAAGTGCTAACTATGCTCCAGAGACAAATGTGGTGATGGATGATCCAATTAATCAGGTTCTTTAAAACCCCTTTTTTCACTGCTGGTGGAGTAGCTGGGTGCTTTCCTAACTTGTCCTGTGACAAACCTGTCAGGGGGGCTGCAAAGGGAGAAGTCACATTTCAGTGTGATTTCTCAGGGCAGTGCTTGACCCTGCACAACGTGCTCAGACACATCCAGTGTGCCTAGGAAGAATTCCACAGGAAAGAAAAGGAAAAAGAAGCACTTGTGGCAACTCTGATTATTTAAGTGCTCTGGGACCCATTTACACTTAGACACAAGTAAATACCTTGAAGACAAATATAGCTGGAGCTAAGCCTTTGTATAAATTTTGAGATGACTGGGTGTGTGTCTCCGTGGGGTTACTCATGAAGTTGGAACTGGTAAGAGAGGAATTCTGTTTCATTCAATTTGTAGGATGTAATTTGAATTTAATAGTCTTCAATGAAAGGAGGTAGGAAATTGAGGAAGGGAGTGTCTTGTTTGAGCAAATCAGAGATTTGATTTGCCTCTTCCTGTGCAAATTTCCCTTAATGCTTGATATTAACAAATTGTTTTTCCTGCAGAGAAATGCAAAGAAACAGAAAATTTTAAAGAGGTTATTTGGGGAAGGTAAATATTGAAATCCCTAGTACAAAAACTTGCTGAGATATCTGATTTTAAAGGTCCATCAGGTCTTAAAGAAAAGAAAAAGCCTGTTTTATACATGTGCCTCAATCCATAGCAAAGTGAGTTAGGGATACACTTATCATTAGTCATTGCAAGTAATCCTAAAGGAACTGTTTATTTTGTATAATCTGTGATAAATTTTTACCTATATATGTAGAAAGTGGTCCAGTTCTAGGCAAAAAAAAAAAAATCTAACTTATGCAATTGCTGTACCAAAATTGAAGTTCTCGTGTCCTTCTCAGGCTGTCCTTGTTTCTGTGGGTATTAGTCAGACCTTAAACAATGATGTTTTTCGTCAAAGATAAGCTCTCAAGCAAACAGGAAGAGGGTGTAGTAAAAAGTGACCATAAACCATATACTGGAACTGCTGGAATCAAAAGATTTTATCGGCCTTTTCTTTTTTTATGATGTCTGTATATTGCAATAGATCCATCTATTGTTTTTTCTTTCGTTGCTGTCCCCTGGCACCAGGAAATCATATATAACACAGGGGTATCTTTGTGTCCAGGCTGAAAACTGTTGTGCAGAAATTCTTTAATTTGCATAATGAGTTTATGAATTCCTTTATGAATTAGCAGAGTTTCTGGCAGATACAGCCGCAGAAATTCTTTAATTTGCATTATGAATTAGCAGAGTTTGTGGCAGATACAGCTGCCTTGAAAGTGAAGGCCTGCAGAGAACAAACACCATGAGGAAAATCCAGATTTTCCCCACATTTATCCAGCCAAATAGCAATGAAATTTTTCCTCTGTGTGTTTTTCATGTACGTTCTTACAGTAAAAAGCCCTTCTGCAGTTACCATGTGTGATCTGAGAGCAAACCATCTGATTAAAAAAACCCAAATTCAATAAAAACCCCTCGCTGCCCTGCAGAAGCCTTCATTGGACCCCTCAGTGAGGCAGATTTTAACTGTGGCTTTCCAGAGCAAAATATGGATACTGTAGAGCAGACCAAAGTCCCCCAGAGGTTAGAACTGATCTGGCCCTCTGAAGAAATTGCTTGGGTAATAGAAACATTCAGTATTTAGCCATCTCTCAATTCACCTCTAATTTTGGCTCACCCTATTTCTCCCTGAACAAAACTATGCAGTCTCCTGGAAGCTTTTAAATTTAGATTCAAGGCAGGCTCTGTCTCAGTCTCTTGCATTAATGGTAATACTTTTTTTGCCTGTCTGGTCTGTTCAGATTTATATTTTCTTTTCCCTAGGATTTGTCCCCATGTTCAGCTTGGTGGTTCCACAGAATTGGGAAATGTTGCATAAACAGAGCCCTGCTCCTTCAGCTGTGCATTGCAACTGCAAACAACCTGGTCCAGCAGCACTGGGACTTGGTGAAGTCACAAGCATCTAAAAAATAATATTAAAAGCTTGTCCCAGAAATGCTCCCTGCCTTAGGTGGCTGAGAGCTGCCTCCCTGTCCTGTTCTTGCCCTTTTTACCTCGGTGGGAATCTCGTGCTCTCAGCAGTGTCTGGAGCGATTCACCTGGCTCCTGTTTGCTCCCAAGGATGTGGGAGATTTGCAGAACCAGGGCAAGTCCTGAGGTCAGACCTGGCTTTACCCTTCATTTTCTAGCAGCTGCTTCGTTGTTTTCTTGAGGTTGCTGCTACCCCTTTAAAAACAAGCATCCCAGGAATTTTCTTTTGAAACAGGCTTCCCCTCTCCAAATCCAATTATACTCTTTCAGCTGGGTCATTTTCAGCCCCTGCCGCCTTTTTGGTTCTTTGGGTTTTTTACTGAATTTATTAAAAAACACAGCCCTGCCACAGGGAAAGCAAGGGGAATTTTCACCCTGCTGACTCCCAGCTCTGCTCCAGAGCCGCTCCTGGCTCAGGTGGGTTTGTTTTTTCCCTTTTGGAAATCACAGCAGGGCAGAGAGAGGCAGCTCCCCCTGGCCAGACGGGGAGTGTGGGGCTCATCCCACGCAGGAGCTCGGGCCACCCAGGGAATCGCAGCAGGAAAAAGGAAAAGGATTCAGGATGTGAAAGTGGGAAGCCAAACTTTATCATTGGTGTCAGCTGAGATAACGGGGTGCATTCTATTTCAGCAATGACAGGAAAAATTCAGCGTGCCGGGTGGCCTGGTGTCAGTGGGAAATGACACCAGAATCTTGGAACGAATCATCTTAGTTTAGAAGGAATAAAAATGGAACACTTTGTTAACTAACAAATAAATCAATCTCTGAAGCCATTCCATGCAATTTCCACCTCAAGTGTCAAACAGTGTTCATGTTGTAGCTGTGGATAAAGACCCTCTTGTTGTGTGGCCAACAATGGACCACGTTGCCTTCTTGAAAAAAATGGACATCTGTTCTTAGAAAACATCAGGATACTTCCAAATGCAGTACAATTAAATTGTATTCCTTAGCTTCAAAACAAAGTACAACAGCCCCAGGTCATTCCTGGGTTTGCTGTCTGCAGAGTTGTTAACTGGGCTTAAACAGGGATTATTTAATGCCGATTTGTTTTATTTTAATTAGCCCCTCTAATTCATCTTTCAAACGCTTCTCAGCCTTTCCTACTTCAGTGCTGTGTGTGTGAAGCCTTGCAGGCAGGGGGGAGCAGGCTGGAGGCAGGAGGACGTGTCACTTGGGAGGATGCCACCCCCCTGCTCAGGTGTCCTTCTGCTGGAGCAGACGCTTGTTGTGTAACATTTCCCAGTCTCTGCCACTGCCCAGCAGAAACAATGGAACAAATCAAGTGCAGAGGCTCTCAGGACTGAAAAATGCATTCACTTTTGTTGTGAAATCCCATGTAATCCTTAACTGCACACAGCAAGGGAGGGCAAAGACCTCTGCCTCTGACAGCTACCAGCCTTTCTTACTTTCAGCACAGAATTTTATCTCTGCAGCCAGCAAGGGCCTCAAAGTTCATAAAATGCCTGAATCTGGGTCAGGAAATATTTCTGCTCGTTGCAAGCTGATTTCCCTTTCTGATGCGTGCTGGAGGTGTTGAGGAAAGACGTCGCTACTGTGTTGTTGCTCTCCCTTCTGAAAATGAGCTATTAGGAGTCCAAAAAGAAAATTCTGGGCTAAAACTCCCCGCTCTATTAACTGATGCCATCCTGAGGCACTGGAGGGTTTAACCTGAAGGAAAAGAACAGGCATCACAAACTCAGCAATTCTTATTCTTAAGGAGATGGATTTGACCTGACCCCTACAAATCCCGAAACCTGCTGTGCTCGGTAGCCCCAGCTGGGGATTGGGGTGGTGAGAAGGGCTCAGCTGCAGCCCCTGTGTGTCTTAGGAACACCTGTCAGGTCCTAAGCCCTGTCCTCACCGGGTTTTGGCACTGGCCTGGCCAAGCCAAAGGCTCCAGTTTCACCCTCTGAGCTGGGGAGAGCATCCCTGGCACTTTCACCTGCTGTTTTCCCAGGAAAAACCACAGTGCAGCTCTGCCTCCGTGTTCCTGAGCATCCAGCCCTTGTAAACCCCAGCAATGATGAGGAGGAGTTAGCAGCTGAAGAGTTCATTTTGTACAGCATTTATCTCCTGAGCTTAAAAATGCACCAGAAACCAAGATTTACAAAGCTGTTGTTGGGATTGTTTCTCTTTTTATAAATTGCAAACAGTAAACCTGTCTCTTTTAATATATTATGTCAGCTAAACATCTGGTTTGCTTACGTTGCTTCTTGGTCCACCTTGGCTCTCTGGTGATTCCAATCATATGAAAATGCTCAAACCCAGGGCTTGAAAATGGACAATTTTCCAAAATCTCTATTTAATTCTGCAAGATTCTACAAGTATTCAAGATTTCAACAGCATGTTGAAACAGGCATTTTGAACATAAGGGAGTTAAGAGCTGAAGTTTTACAAGTATTACTTTTTATTGATATTATTTCTAAAGCCAAATGTTCTTTTTAAAAGCTGTGGCACGGAAATGCAATCATTTTGGGTGTTTTATCTCTTTCTCCACACAAAATCTGAGCTTGACTCAGTCCCTTCACCAGTGGGGTTAAAATATGGCATAATTTAACAGTGCAAGCAGACGAGCCTCACCCCAGGACTGTCCAAAGACCATCAGGATGTTGTCCATGGCAAAATCAGCTGTTCCAAAAGCGAGGAGGACACTCAAAGCTCGCAGCTGCCCTGCTTTAGCTCGTGGAGTGGTGCCTGCTGGTTTGTGAATGGGTCAAGAGCTGTTTGCATGTGTCTGTGTGTCAGGGCTTTTGTTTATGACTTCAGTCACTGTTTCCATTTCAGAAGAAATAAGATAAATCCTTCTGACATTCTAGTTCTTTCTCTTCTTGGCTCTAACTGGTGGTGGATAATTCAGATTTGGCAAAGGGTTTTGTCTGCCCTGAAACTGCATTTCTCAACATTTGCTGGTAAAATTTGCCAGCTGTAGTCTGGACTGCAAAGGTTTTTACACATTTCAAACCTGAAGGTGGTTTTTTTTCAGGTCTCTGTTGTTCTAGTAAAAGATATGTTTTCTCTCTCAATAAGCCTTTCTGCCATTATAGATCATTATGCTTCTCCATCTGCATACAAGTCATATTATACATTATTTTCATTTATCACTCTTTACAGCAATTTACCTGCACGTGCAACAATGTGTGTAATATTTTGGATATGAGTATCAAGAGACAGAACAGGACATTAGGACAGCACTGGCAGTTTTGTGGGGTTTTGCTTGTTTGGGTTTTTTTTTAATGGGAAGATAGAAAAGTGTTGGAGCAGATGCTCTGGGTCCTAACTTTGTAGCTATTGATGCTTACACATCAAAGAAAGGCAGAGTCAAGCCTGTTCTCTCTTTGAGACAGAAAAGGGGGGGAAAGGACAAGTTAGCTATGAATGTGTAGCACCTGATTGAGCAGCACTAAGTGCAGTTAACAGTAACAGAGTGCTGGGAGAGGTCTGCAGCTTCAGGAAGGATCCTCTGCTGCAGCCAAGCCAGGGGTTTGTCAGGAAAATCACTACCAGCACTGAACCTGCTTTCTCTGAAGCTATTTTTAGCAAAACAATTCGAACACAGGATATTTGGTAAGCATCAGCATCCGGTGTTTATCAAAAATAAAAGCTCCTGCATGATTTGCAAAGCTATAAATAAAGCAAGAGGTTCCTGTGCACTGAAATTTGTATTGTTTGCTTGAATGGCTGCACATGGACAGCCCTGGCTCCCTCAGCCTTTCCTCTGCAGGGAGATGCTCCAGTCCCTTCTGCATCCATCTCTGCATCCTTCTGCTGGATCCATTCTGGGAGCTCCCTGTCCCCCCATCCTCAGGAGGACTGGGCAAAGTAAAATTAACAAAAATTAATTAATACAGCATTAACCCGCACAGAAGATGCGTTAAAACTGAGCTGAAATTTAAATTAATTTAAGAATCCGGCTGATTTTTGACCAGCCGCGATGGAGGAGTAAACAGCATCACTGCAGGACCAAATTCAGGCTCGCTGCACGGCTTTAATCCGCTGGCACCATCTTAATTAGATTTTAATTACGTTTTAATTAGCTGAGTTGTGCTGGTGCGGCCCGCGGCCGCCAGGGGGCAGCCAGGGCACGGCCCCGGACTCTCATTTTTGCTTTAAATTCGCTAATTGAGCGTCAATAATGAGCCAAAATCCGCCTGCCCTTCCGAAACCCGTGCAAAAAAGGGTGGGGGGATTTTTGATTGGTTTGGTTTAGGTTTGGGGTTTTTTCTTTGTTTTATAATTTTTTTTGGTTGATTTTTTTGTTTGGCTTTTTTTCGTTAGTTTGTTTTGGTTTTGTGGGGGGTTTTTTTAATTATTATTTTTATTTTTTAGCTTAGCTGATTTAAAAACAGTGGTTAATTGATGTTATTAATCAGTACCAGTGCACATTCAGATTTGGATATTTACTCCATTAGACGACAGCATTTAACACTCCTTTGATCATCTGAGAATGTAAAGTTATTTGTTACAGCTATTTCTTTAAAAGTGTGTTTCTTAGTAGTCATGCTGAACACAATTGCAAGAAATAAATTTCTTTTCCTCTTTAGTTCTGGTATCTGTCTCTCTATATATTTATACATCAAGCTAATATATATATATATATATATTTTATTATTATTATTTTTTTTTTTTTTTTCATTTCTTTGAAATCATCCACAAAATTTGAGGTTTAGGTAGGCTGGGATGCATGATAACAAAATGATAATTTGATACTTCCTAGCAGAATAATTGGTTCCTGCTTTTTGTTTAGGCCAGTGTCAATCTGCATCTTGGTTTTAGTTTGTGGGTTTTTGATGGTTTTGGTTTTTTTAAGGCCACTGAAATGACCATCATGTAAGGGGCAACTCACCCTGGTGCCATGAAAGCAAACAAGAAAACAAATAAAAGCTGCATAAGTCATGTTGCTTATTCTGTCAGTGTTCTCTGACTTAAATACTTCACTAGGAAGAGAAGAAGACTGCCAATTAAAAAAAAATAAATAAATATCTGAACAGGAACTATGATTTGATTTTTCAAGGTCTGGGATTTTTTTTTTTTTAACTTGAGCTTTTTTATTCTGCCTTTTTCCATTATTACTATTTTTTTTTTCTATTTTCTTTAAGGCAGACAAATATTAAATTTCCTGACCTTCATAGCAATAGAAGGTATTGGCACATCTCTTTTATAATATGCTTTGTTCTCCTAAATTAAAAGACACTCGTTGCAGGCTGGTTTTTAGAGAGCTGATGAGTTGAATGAATCACCTTCTGAAGACACCTCATTCTCCTCATTGCCTGCAGCTGGCTCCTGGATAAAATGTGTACTCTAAACACCTGGGGTGGGTTTCAGTTGTTTA